CCGTTTCCCACTTACAGAGAGCTACCGGAGCCCAGGGAGGTTGTTTTCGCCCTCCCAGAGGCTCGAGGAAAGCCTCCTGAGCCAGCAAACCACCACCCCCGTGATGCAGGAGTTCAACTAGGCCATGCCCACCATGGCCACACCCACCCAGCAACTGGGCAGAGAACTCTTTGCTAAAATTTTCAAAGCCCACCCCAGGCCTCAGCTAACCAGCTATTTAGTGTCATAGGCTAAGTAGAAAGAGAAAAGAAAGAAAAAGAGAAGGAAGGAAGGAAGGAAGGAAGGAAGGAAGGAAGGAAGGAAGGAAGGAGACATAATTAAAGTAGACCTCGACATACAACCATAATTGCCTCCGAAATTTATGTTGGTAAGCAAGACACTTGTTCAGTGAGTTTGGCCTCCTTTTATGACCTTTCTTGCCACAGTTGTTAAGTGAATCACTGCCGTTGTTAAGTTTGTAACGCGGTGATTAAGCAAATCTGGCTTCTCCGTTGACTTTCCTTGTCAGACCATCACATGATCCCAGGTTACAGCAACCATCGTAAGTATGAGTCAGTTGCCAAGCATCTAAATTTTGATCATGAGGATGCCACAGCAGTCATAAGAATGAGAAACAGTCATAAGTCACTTTTTTCAGTCCATTTGTAAGTTCAAATAATTACTAAATGAACCGTTGTAAATCGAAAACCACCTGAATTAGAAAGCAATTCCATCAAGTCAACTTCTGGCACGAAACATAGATGGATCCAAGCGGCCATTTTGGCAAAAAGGAAGGAAGGAAGGAAGGAAGGAAGGAAGGAAGGAAGGAAGGAAGGAAGGAAGGAAGGAAAGAAAGAAAGAAAGAAAGAAAGAAAGAAAGAAAGAAAGAAAGAAAGATGGTTTGTGATCAGTCTCTTGCAGGAAAAAAATGTATGCATTCTAAACTCCAAAGTCCAATTCACAAAGCTGAAACACCTCATTTTACTGCTCATCATCAATTTAAATTCTATCCTTACTCTATACCTGCCTGAAAGCTTAAACCAGGTGCGTCCAGCCTGAAGCCCACAGACCATATGCAGTCCCTGGACAGCCAGTAACACATCCAGACAAAATAATAAAAATATTTAAAAAATAAAGTAGGTTTGTTATTTAAATACATTAACTATATCAGGGGTTTCCAACCTTGGCAACTTTAAGACTTGTGGACTTCAACTCCCAGAATTCCTCAGCCAGAATTTTGGACTCCCAAAAGGCACCAAAGGTCCTGCAGTTTCAGACCAACCGACCATAGAGAAGCACACATGTAGAGCAAGGGTCTTCAAACTTGGCAAGTTTAAGACTTGTGGACTTCAACTACCACAATTCCTGGGCTAACATGATCAGAGGAGGAATTCTGGGAGTTGAAGTCCACAAGTCTTAAAGCTGTCAAGTTTGAAGACCCTTGATGTAGAGAGATTAAATTTTGATGGATGTGTATTATCTAAAAGGATTTTTAGTTCTGCACAGCTGACTGAGGAATTCTGGGAATTGAAGTCCACAAGTCTTAAAGCTGTCAAGTCTGAAGACCCTTGATGTAGAGAGATTAAATTTTGATGAATGGATATTATCTAGAAGTTTTTTAAGTTCTGCACAGCTGACTGAGCAATTCTAGGAGTTAAAGTCCACACATCTTCAAGCTGCCATGGAGTATCTCTTTATTGTTTGTTCATATCCCACTTTTTTGTTACTTTTATAAATAGCTCAAGGCAACGAAAACAGGAAACGCACCTTCCTCTTCCTATTTTCTCCACAACAACAACCCTGTGAGGTGGTTTTGAGTTGAGAGAGAGAGAAAACAGCTGACCCCAAAGTCACCCAGCTGACTTTCGTGCCTATGACGGGCCTAGAGACCTCACAGTTTCCCACTTCCTAGTCTGGTGCTTTAACCACTAAACCAGGTTGAGAAATGTTGGTCGAAGGAGTAAACTATAACCTGTTTCCTTAAAAATACGACCTACCCTGAAAGTAAGTCCTAGCTTGATTTTTACACATGCACCCAAAATAAGTCCTAATTAAGATCCCACCCACTCCAGAGTGCACAGGTAAAAATTAAGCTAGCGTGGGGATGGGAGTAATGGAGCTGCCCTACTATTTACCTTTGGAAGGTTGTAGCCAGGCCTCGCACACCCCGACACCTGCCTTCACAGCTCATTTCTTCTGCAGCCAGCAAGGCTGGCAAGGCTTTCCTGAAGTCTTCTGTAGCTGATAACAAAAAAGCTCTGGATCGATCCAGAGGTTTGTTATCGGCTACAGAGGCCTTCAGGAAAGCCTTCCTGGCCACAGAAGAAGTAGTTCCTGAAGGCCTCTGACAGCGAAAAGGAGGCTGGGGGCAATGCACACAAGTGAGGTTAGTCAGGGGATGACGTCCCCTGAAAATAAGGCCTGGTGCCTTTTTTGCTGGCAAAAAATATATAAGACAGGGTCTTATTTGGGGGGAAACACAGTATTATATAAAGAAGGTACCATTTTTCCTCAATCCATGCATTTAACTCAATCAGGAGAGCATGACTGAACTGTTCCCACAATTTCTTAAATTTCTTCTCAACATACATGAAATCAGTATTCCTTCAAACCTAGAAACGCAACAGGTAGTACAGGCAGTCCATGAACTGTGACCACAAGGGAGCCCAAAATTTCTCTTGTTAAGTGGAGCATTTGTTTAGTGAATTCATGACCCACGTTACAACCTTTCCTGCCGCAGTTGTTAAGTGTGAATTGCTGCCGTAGTTACATTAGTAACACAGTCTTTAAGTGAATATGGGGTTAGGGTTGAATTAGTAACACAGTTGTTAAGTGAATTTGGTCACAAAAGGGGATCACATGACTCTGGGGCCCTATCATAAATGTGAGTCACAGATGTCAAAGCATCTGAATTTTGATCATAGGACCACGGGGATGCCACCAGGGTCTTAAGTGTGAAAATCGGTCATAAGTCACCTTTTTCTGTGGGTGAGACCTCCATAGGCCACGACCAGACCAAGCATAAAACCATCGGAAACTCAGCGCCACAACACATGAGCTGGGATTATAGGACATACATACTGCAACCCAACCCATGATTGGCATAACCCTAATTGCCCAATAAAAGCCCATTTAGACACAAACCATGATTTGCACATCATTCAAACCACAAGGCTCACATTCACACAAAATAAAACAAAGTTACTCCAAGCTGGCTTGTTTCAACCCATAAGCTCACACCCACACACCCGGGCCTGCATCCCCCTCTTCGCTGCCTCAACCCACCTGCAGGCTTTGCTACCAATCAGAAACTAGAATTGGAATCAAGCTGAAAGGGACCTTGGAGGTCTTCTAGTCCAGCCACCTGGACAAGCAGGAGATCCTGCACCATTCCAGACAAATGACTGTCCAGTCTCTTCTTAAAAACCTCCAGTGATGAAGCACCTACAACTTCTGGTGGCCAGCTGTTCCACTGGTTAATTGATCTTAATGTTAGGAAATTTCTCCTTAATTTCAGGTTGCCTCTCTCCTTGGTTAGTTTCCAACATTGTTTCTTGTCCTGCCTTGAGGTGCTTTGGAAAATAAACGGACCCCCTCCTTTTTGTGGCAGCCCCTCAAATACTGGAAGACTGCTATCAATGCAGTACTGCAGGCTACTTCTGCTAACTGCCAGCTGGCTGCAATTTGGCAGTTTGAATCTCACCGGGCTCAAGGTTGACTCTGCCTTTCGTCCTTTCAAGATCGGTAAAACAGGGACCCAGATTATTGGGGGCAAGAGGCTGACTCTGAAAACCACTTAAGAGAGGGCTGGAAAGCACTGTGAAGCGGCATATAAGTCTAAGTGCTATTGCAAAGGAAGGAAGGAAGGAGGGAGGGAGGGGAGGAGGGAAGGAAGGAAGGAAGGAAGGAAGGAAGGAAGGAGGGAGGGAGGGAGGGAGGGAGGGAGCGATCCAGGGTGGCATAGTGGTCAGAATTCATTACTGCAGGCTAACTCAATGCTCACTGCCAGGAGTTCGATTCTGATCGGCTCAAGGTTGACTCAGCCTTCTAAGTCTAAGGGCCATTGCCCTTCCTTCCTTCCTTCCTTCCTTCCTTTCCTTTCCTTTCTCTTTCCTTTCTCTTTCTTTCTTTCTTCCTCCCTTCCTTCCACCCTCTCTCCCTTTCTCCCTCTCTCCCTCCCTTCTTTCCTTCCTCGCCACGGTGGCTCAGTGGTTAGAATGAAGTACTGCAGGCCAACTCTGCCCACTGAGTTCAATCCTGACTGGGTCCAGGTTAACTCAGCCTTCCCTCCTTCCGAGGTGGGCTAAATGAGGACCCAGATGGTTGGGGGGGCAATAGGCAGACTCTGTAAACCGCTTAGAGGGGGCTGTAAAGCACTATAAAGCTGTATATAAGTCTAAGTGCTCTTGCTATCATGTGATTGTATCCAATTTTATGACTTTTTTTTTTTTTTTGGTTAAGTGAATAAATCAGTCAGGAAACCAGACTGGCCAAACCCAAGTCCTGCAACCGGTCTTCACCTGTTTGAGTCTCCAGGACCTTTTATCCTCTTCGTTGCTCTTTTCTGCACTTTTTTTTTTCCAAAGGCTCAACCTTTCTTTTTTTTTTCTTTTTGGTAACGTGGTCCCCAAATTCTCACGACGCGAGGTGCAAAGTCAACCCAAGCCTGAAAACCCAACCAACCAGTTCCCGAGCCAATTTTGCCAACCCCCCTTTCCCGAAACGGCGCTTCGTCTCGCGCGTGTGTGTGTCCGTCCGTCCGTCCCCTAACCCAGCACGGCGCAACCTTCCCCAACCGGGCGCCCGCTGCTTCTCCCTCCCCGCCTGCGATCTCCCTTCCAGCCGCTCGCCGAGTCCTCCCCGCCTCCCCGAGTAGCCTTCCACATCCCCGGCATCGGCGGCAAGCGGCCGGCGGGGGCTCCTTCGGCGATTCCCCGTCCCTCCGTCCCCCCCGGGCCAAAGCGCAGGATCCCGGTGGGTGCAAAGCGGCGAGGACCCAGCCCGGGCGCCCCGGGGCTCACCCAGAAGTTGTCCTTAAAGAGGGTTTCCCGCATCGCGGCTGCTGAGCGGCCCGAGAGGCAAAGGGCGAGGCTGGGATCCAAAGTCTAGCCGTCCCGGTCCTTTCCTGCCCTGGCGACGGGGCTCCCCTCCCGGCGGTTCCTCCCTCCGGGCACGAAGGGGACGGGCCGCCGGCAGAGTCTCCGCCCGCCCGCTGGCCACCGGGTGGGTGGCCTAAGTGGGGGGGCGGGCGGGTGGGGTGGGACCTGCCGCGCCGACGATCGCGGCCGTCTCGAGTGGGGGTGGGTGGGTCCCTCGCTTCCTCCGCGACCCCGAAGGGGGGAGAAGGGGGAGGGGGAGTTGGGGAAGGAGAGAGGGAGAGAGCGAGAAAGAGGGAGGGAGGGAGAGAGAGAAAGAGCGAGGGAGGGAGGGAGAGAAAGAAAGAGAGGGAGGGAGAAAAGGGGGGAGAGAGGGAGTGAGGGAGGGAGAGAGAGAGAGGGAAGGAGAGAGAGAAAGAGGGAGGGAGGGAGGAAGAGAGAGAGTGGGAGGGAGAAAAAGGGAGAGAGAGGGAGAGAGCGAGAAAGAGGGAGGGAGGGAGAGAGAGAAAGAGGGAGGGAGAAAAAGGGAGAGAGAGGGAGGGAGAGAAAGAGAGGGAGGGAGAGGGAGGGAGGGAGAGAGAGGAAGAGCAAGGGAGAAAGGGAGAGAGAGAGTGGGAGAGAGAAAAAGAGAGGGAAGGAGAGAGGGAGAAAAAGAGAAAGGGAGAGGGAGGGAGGGAAGGAGAGAGAGAGGGAGAGAAAGAGAGAAAGAACGAAGGAGAGAGGGAGAGAAAGAGAGAGGGGGAGGGAGAAAAGGAGGGAGGAAAAGAGAGAAAGAGCGAGGGAGAGAAGGAGAGAAAGAGGGCGGGAAGAAAAGGGAGGGAGGGAGGGAGAGAGAGAAAGCAAGGGAGAGAGAGACGGAGGGAGAGAGAAAGTGAGAGGGAGGGAGGGAAAGAGAGAGAGAAAGAGTGAGGGAGAGGGAGAGAGAGAAAGAAGCAGGCAGACCCCCTCCCCCCAAAAAAGGCACACCCTGGTCGCTGGTGAAGCAGAGAGAGGGGCCACCGGCTGTTTTCTTCCCTTGGAGAGTCTGCGGCTGGTTTTACACAATATTGCAACATGCAACCAGTTTGGGGAAGGCTGGTGGTTATTTAACCTTGACTCAGCAGCGTAAGGACCAAGGCTCTGCAATTGGTGGGGAGGGGGGAGGGGGCTGGAAGGTTGGTGGGGGTGTGGAGATCCATGGGCCATAGGTTTAAAAAGGGGTTTTTTTTTTCCTAAAGGAGGATATTTGTAGTTGAGTTGTGGGGTCCTTGGTGCTCTCATCTGGATAGTTTTCTTGCAGACATTTCATGACCCAACTAGGTAACGTCATCAGCGCTAGGAGAGAGTGGAGTTTGCTTTTTGTTTATATACAGTGCACTGTCTGTAAATATTCTTAGCCCTGATGATGTTACTTAGTTCAGGTAACGGTCATAAGTCACTTTTTTCAGTGCCTTTGTAACTTTGAACATTTACTAAATGAACTGTTGTAAGTGGAGGACTACCTGCATGCTAGGTTAAAATGTTGGTTGGACAGCCCGCAGTTTGTGAGTGTTGTGAAGAGTGTAAGCTTAGACATACTCCTTAAATTAGCCATGGTTTATTGCATCATGGTTTACTCAGCCCAGCTATCAGGGTTTGCTCAACCCCTGGATGATAACTAGTCTTATGCACTAAGTTGTGCATCACACAATTCAAATGTGATTGGTTTTAATCCTCTTTTTAATAACTCTGATAAAAAAGTCCATCTACTGCACACAAACGTTAGAATTATTATGGAAAAGAGGGAAGTTTGGAATTCATTTGCATCTCCAGAATATAATTAGTCCACAATTATGGTTCTTTCCCAAAATCGGGTCTATATTTAGAAAATTGCTATAAATCTTTAGCCCCAAGGTTTGTTTCCTTTAGCAAGCTACAATTTCTGATTCCACAGCTGTCTTACCACAAGTAAGTAAATATACTTGTACAAGCAAAACCTAGTAGTAAATGACACGCCTCAGTTGTTCAAATCAGGATCACAAATATTATCATCTGCAGCACATTAAAAAGAATGAAGATTTTTTTTAATGGAATGGACATTTTGGGCTTCTGTGCGGGGGTAGGATTCAAATTTTTTAACAACCGGTTCTGTGGGTGTGGTTTAGTTGGTGGGCGTGGCTTGGTGGTCATGTGACCAGGTGGACGTGGCATGGTGGTCATGTTATTGGCTCAGCATGGCCAACTCAATATCACTCACATCGGGGCACGCATTTCCTCGCCTGGCCTTTCATAACTGTGGGGATGCTGCAACACTCGTAAGTGTGAAAAATGGTCATAAGTCACTTTTTTTCAGTGCCATTGTAACTTTGAATGGTCACTCCACACAAGCAAAGTACCAGCAAAGGAAGGAAAAAAAACTCCAGAGACATTCCTGAGACAGGAAGTCTAGTCCTGCCAAGAATGTAATAAAGGTTAACGGAGAGGCAGTTTCTGTAAGCAACACCAGAATGTTTCCTTCCTGCCTTCCTTACAGGATTAGGCCAGTAATTTCTTCTAACAACAGGTTCTCCGAACTGCTTAGAATATTGACAACCGGTTCTAGTGAATAGGTGCGAACTGGTAGAATCCCACCCCTGCTTCTGTGCCAAAAATTGTGCAAATACTTGCACCACGCGTGCTCGCATGCCAGCACCCAGAAGGCAATGTGCATGGGGCCCCATGCCCCTGCGCATGCGTGTGTGACCCCCCCCCTCTCCCCCACCACCCCCTTACCTGCACTGTGCCTCCCAGCTGATTTTCGGGCCTTTTTCAGCTCCCCAGAGCCTTGAGGGAAGCCTCTGCAGCCTTTGCAGGCCAAAAAAGGGGCCCATTTTGTCACTTCCGGTATCTCCAGAAATACAGGAAGTGATGAAACGGGCCTGTTTTTCAGGCTGTAGCTTCTGGGAAGCTGAAAAAGGCCCGAAAATCAGCTGCGAGGCGCGCGCATGCGCAGTGAGGTAAGTTTGCCAGGGGCTCACGTACCGCACAAATGGCTCTGTGTACCATCTGTGGCACGCATGCCATAGGTTTGCCATCACGGGAATAGAGTCTGCAGTGCAATTTAAGATAACGTTCCAATACCGCCTAATGTCTTTTAATATCTTTTTCTCTTCCCCCTCTTCCCTGGAAAAGGAGATTAAAATCAGGGTTGCTCTGGGCGCAGTTTGGATTTTAATTTATTAACTTCCCAAGAATTGTCTGAGGAAAGGGTAGGGCATTTTGAACAGGCCTTTTAAAAGCTATTTTGTTAAAAAAAAAAGATATAAATTAGCTTTACTGAATGTTTTGCCCGGAGATCAAAGTCTTTTTGCGACTTTTCTTTTAACCTCCCTGTACTTTTATCCATAATTTCAAAGAGTTCCTGCTTGACAAGTTAACTAGTCATTTGTGGGTGGGGCGCATCTGTCTACCTCAGCGGTTCTCAAGTTGAGACCTATTGGAGTTTTACTGCAGGCAGGTAGTCCTCCACTTATGACGACAATCAGGCCTGAGGAGAGGGGTCTGTGTGAAGTCAGAGCATTGTTCCGGGGCCCATGCAGCTCAAAGGGGGGCCATGAAGGGGAAATTAAAAAAAAATTTTTTTTACAAAACCAAATTTTAAAAAAAACAATATTGGACCTATACTTCATACTCTGTATTTTGTGTGTATAGCAAAACCACCTTGCAGCCTTGTTGGACATACGCACTGGGCAGGCCGGGAGTGCAGTTTCTTTCCCACAGCAAGCGGCACGCCATAGAAATGAAATTAAAATTCAATAAATTACATAAATAACTGCTCATTGAGTTTGAGATTAATAAAGGTTATTGTGATGACCCAGGGTGCGGATACAAAATAATCACAGTCACAGAAAACAGGTGAAGCCCCTTTTATTCCTTCACTTTTCTGCCAAGCTCCGGATATTCTTGACGAAAGACCAAAAAACTCCCACACAAACAGTTACAAGAAGAAGGAAAAAAACAACACAAACCAGGCAAGATAAGGGCTGGAGGACGTTCACAGATAACACACACTGGGAAGGATGCCAAACTCAGAGAGGAACTATAAACTAGAGATATTTCCACGCTTTGTTTCCAGCGTTCGCCCGTACACAAGTCCGTCCCCTTACTCAGTTGCCACAAAGCTGCAGCCCATGAAGAGGATCAAAGCCCTCTCCTCCCGAGTAGACCACATTTTACCCCGATCCTCTCCTCCCTGCGTGCCCTGGGATGGATGGAGGAGGGATGGGTCTGGGGTCCTCCTCTGACTGCCCAGCCGGCCTCTGCCCTTCCCCAGCCTCCTCCACAACCTCCGGAGCCACACTTCCACTCCCTGTCAGCTGTTCCTCCTCTCCCTCAGAGTCAGTCTCCTCCAGGGGCATGACAGTTATCTCAAACTCAGTGAACAGTTATTTATGCAGTTTATTCAATTTTAATTTCATTTCTATGGCGTGGCGCTCTCTGCGGGAGAGAAACTGCACTCCCAGCCTGCCCTGGGCATGCACCACTCTGCCCCGCCACCTCTATGACTCATGATTTAAATCGGGGGTGGATGCCAGAGCCCTGACCTATGAGTCAGTTGCCAAGTGCCTGAATTTTGATCACGTGATGCGTGATCGAATGCTGCAAAGGTGCAAAAAATGGGCATAACTCAAGTCACTTCTTCCAGTGCCTTTGTAACTTGGAACGGTCGCTAAATGAACTGCATATCAAAGATGACCTGTATACCGTTGCAATTATGACTTCAAACGATCAGCAAACAAATGGATGTAAATTGGATTATCAATTGGATGATTACTTGAATATAAGCCGGCCGTGTGCAGCCGCCGACGACAAAGCTAATACGATCCCGGGTTGTATAAACAGAGGCGTAGAATCAAAACCAAGTGAAGGATTAGTGCCCCTTTATAAAACCCTACTAAAACCACAGCTGGAATACAGCAACCAATTTTGGTCACCACACTACAAAAGAGATGTTGAGACCTTGGAAGAAGTTCAGAGAAGAGCAACTAAGACAATCAAAGGCCTGGAAACTAAAACATATCAAGAACGGCTGCAGGATTTGGGTTTGGCTAATCTAGGGGAAAAAAGAAGAATTAGGAGTGGCATGATAGCAGTATTCCAATATT